GTCATTATGGCCACGGGTGTAGGGATGCGCAATGTATATATATACATATCATAGGTATCCGACATGTATAACAGTTTGACTTCCGATATTCCCCATGCGAAGGAATGTCGCCCCGGGGACCGGTTCCCTTGGTGTAAGTTAGCGGCGTTGGGAACATACGCTACAAGGGCCCGTAGTTATAGTCATTCTCGAAATTTCCTTGCACATTGAGACACACTTTTCTGGCCCCACTGCCAAGTCCTTAACCCAGATCATTCATTGAACAGGCCACCCTTAGTTAAGGGCCGCTTTACAATGCACCGTGCATGGTATTGTATCCCTATCCGTAATATTGCATCCTGCGCTTTGATTGTTGGGCGGTAACGTTGATAGTCACGGGACTAGATAAGCCCCAGTTTATAGTGGCCCTCCACCGAGTGAGGCCCGCTCAATGAATTATCTGCGCTAAGGCCTTCGCAGTGGGGCCGGAAAAGAGTGTCTGAATTTGTACTGGTCAAGGCTATTTTGGGAATGGCTTGGCTGTACTGTCTACGTGGTTGACGAATGTTGACTTTCTTGGCTAGTTGCATGAATCAGGATGGTGTACTTTTGACCTATACGGGATCACCCCTCACCTAGGTTGCCGCTATGGATCCCGAAACTCAAAACCCTTAGGGTTCGTTCTTATGTGTCAAGGATGTCACCACGCTGTGATATTCTCGAATTCTGGCACGTTATATCCCGTTTCCCCCATTTTGAGAGTTTAGGGCCTAAGGACAGCAGGGAAACCACGGTTGTATGAAATGTATGGGGATGTTCACATAGGTCCTACGCCTTATTCCGGCGATCCGATATGCCATGTCGGACGGATCTAGGGTCGGATCGTCACGAGATGGCCTCAGCCCCGGTGTTTTTTTGGGGGTATCCGACATAGTTGAACCCCACTTTTCTGCGATCAGTGGAGGCTGATATCCGGACCGGCCTAATTGACGCGCTCTCACGTCATCACTGCAAAGCTAAGGTTGTTCCGGCCCATGGTGATAGCGTGGTGGCCATTTGATCTTCTCGGGGCGGGGTCTTGATGGGTTCGCCTTAGGGCTTCTGGGCTACGGTTTAATACCGGGCGCCGGTATAGCCTTATAGGAATCCCAGTCACGTAGCTTTCAGGGTCTCCAGCATTCCCCCGCGTCTGGAGATCCCTTCATCCCACACGTTGCGGACGGACGGATACACTCATAATTCCCATGCAATATACTTCTGACCCAGCCACACTTGTACTTGTAGAGTCAGCGACCCCACCAGATTCAAGACGTTCACGGCCAAATCAGATTCGATCGATGTCCAACCCTCCACGCTGTGGCTATCACATAATTACCATTGGCATTTCCGAAGCCCATATGAGGGTGTTGCTAGGGTAGGATATTTAATTCGGTCATTTTAAACACATTCAAACGCTCGATCTTCTATGTAGGCACATTGCTGCAAATATTTATGATGAACTGGCCATACAAGTCCTAGACTCTTCCAAGATCGTTTAACGAAATCTTGACAAACTACGAATCTTCAATTCGCTGAAAAGCCGGGATTAGAAAGCACCAGCGGCTATTTCTTCCAACCAATAGCTTCCCAAGAGGGGCTTGGTATATGCCCAAGCACAGGGCAAGTAACAAGTGGCTGTATCTAGATCAGCAAGAGCAATTGGCTTGGCGCCGATCTGTTCAGGATATCCCTGTGGCATTGGTACCGTTGTATGTCACTAGGGCGCCTTTTCACTAAATCCCAGGGATTGAGCATTGTGATCATAGCACAGGGGATGCTACGCAACTTGGGGCTCGTACCTTTGTATGTCACTAGGGCGCCTTTCCACTAAATCCCAGGTATTGAGCATAGTGGTCATAGCACAGGGGATACTAACGCAACTAAGTGTAACCAGACCAACGGAGACGACATGTTCTGCAGTTGTCATTCTATTAGCAGCAGGTGCCCGGAATTTGATTCCCGTAGCCATGGAGTTATAAATAGCAAGACAACCTCTGTGTCCGTTTGTTCGAGCCTACCCGCGAGTATTACTGTGAGAGGTGGATTATGCAAAATGCGTTATTTCCAATGCCCATGGGGCTCCTGCGAAAAGGTTAGTCATGGTTTCCCCAATTATATGGCCCTTCTGACACGCTTGTAAAGGCATTTATTCGCAAATGTGACCTCTCCCGACACTATCAGATTCATACAGATGACAGACCCTTTATCTGTCCTGAAGAAGACTGCAACAAACGGTTCCACCAGCAATCTTCCCTGAAGGTCCACCAGAGAATCCACACCGGTGAAAAACCCTATATTTGTGAGCTTAAAAAAGATTGTAGGAGAGCTTTTGCCGATGTAAGCAAATTTCCATACGTGATACACCCCGAACAAGATTTTTTCATCTGTTTCAATCAGGGCTGAATACCATGCCCAGCCATCCAGCTATGCTAGACACCAGCGTACTCATACCAATGAGAAGCCTTACACGTGCCCTATCTCATCTTGCAGCCAGAGGTACTTTCACATTTACTAGGAGTTCTGGTCTTTGGAAATTGCGGCACTAACAATGTACTATAGGTTTTCCCGGAAATCTTCATCAAGAAGACACCATATTATGCTCCATCCTGAAAGCCTCATATTGGAACCACAACAAGACCACGCCTTGGCTTCGCTGCCACTACCCCCTCCTGATATGGAATCCAGCTATTTCCCTATTCCAATCTCACAGCCCACCTTTCAAGATAGGGATAGTCTTCTGCCTTCTACCTATGAATTATTATCCGACGAGCTCAACATAGACGGCTTGTTCAAACCGATCAGCTTAGCAGATATTTCCACTGCTCCTTTCTACGCCAGCGGAGGCCAGAAATATTGACCAGAGTCTCCCCTCCCTTAAGATCCATACTGCGTCTATCTGATCCCGGAATCCTCTCGTTTTGAGCACCGGTTAGCTATATACGCAGTTGCAATTTAAATCCAGTCCACTTGAAGGGTTGACATTTAAACGACCCACCCGCTCAAGATAAGACCATATGCTACAGAGATGTTTCAAACAGGAATTTTTATGTTTTTGTCGTTCCCCTCTTTCATACGTTCTTGGGCAACCTCTTTGACAAGCGCTCAAATAAGGACATCTCTTGCAATCACGAATCGGCAGCTACAAGCCGGAGAATTATGAAGCGCCATTTAGGTACACAGAGACCGTAAATAGTATAGTAGTAAATAGTATTATGTGAACTGAGCGTGCTGTATATAAAGAAATATTATCAGTGCAAGCTGATACTGTATAGCCTAGTATGCAGAGACGACGAATGATATCAAGCGGAATCAATATGGATAAATAACATTGATTCATTCAGTAGAAAGATGGGGGGAGAACCGCTGTTAAAAGCACATGCTTTAGCTACACCGCTATTCGGTGCGTCTGAAGTCTGCGGTACTCAGCTGTGACAAAGGCTGCATTGCAGCTCGGCTCCCTGATTACATAGGAAATACTAAACGAATGTGGGCCCATCAGCAACCAACCAGTTTCTAGCGGTAAGTTACCCCTTCATGTGCTAACAACTATCGAATCAGTGCTTCCGATACGCGGGCAGCTATTAGGTCTAAAGCCCAGGCTATTAGTTCCTTCTGTATGCAAGCGCCGTGAGAACTTTGCTAAGAGACTAGTTGCGCATCAGTATCAGGCTCAAATAAAATCTATTTTATTGTAGAGTGTACATCAAGCAATAGTCTTATTCCCGATAGAGCTTCCTAAGTTACAGGTGCTATGCGGGGATTTGCGCCTTCCGGTGTCCAGCCCGGTACGCATGCGAAGCTTGTCGTCCCTGGACCTGTTATATAAGCCGCTACCGCGAGAATCTTACTTAGTAAGATTGTCTTCGGACCTTTTTAGTCTATGTGAATCGTCACGTGAAGAGCAGCGGCTTCCGATTCCACAAGCTGCCCGCAGCGAGAGCAGATGGCTTAGCCGATCAGATCGAAGAAAGTAGTACAAACGCGACAAACAAAACAAAGCAGACAAAAGAAAGGGCAGAAAAGAGAGCTAGGGGAGTCACCGCCCCTGCGATCCAACGTCCCCGCGGTAGTCCTCCGCAGTGTTGGTAAGGAATGATTCAACGCTGCAATCAAAAAGCCTCATCAGCAGCGCCGCGCCATATGCACCAACGGCCTCAACCGATCAGACCCCAGATATCTGATCTTCCAACAGCCACCACCCCTTTCGGCCCGCATCACCAAGCCGATCTGTCTCCCTCCTTCCTCCATCCGCCGTCATGCACTCGAATCACCGTCCACTCCCACTGTCAACTCCCGTCAGGTCGCCCTCATCGCCTGCATCGCCATGTATCGCCATCTTGCACCTCCGGTAGTGTGTAGCTTCTTGCCTCTTTCGATTGATGTCTCCTGGCTGCGCCTATCAGCTCCATCTGGCTAGATGTGACCGGTTGGCGTGGCGTATTCACCGTAGTCGTCCCAGCCCGTCTCAGGTTGAGCTGAGGTTTGGCGGTCATATTACGCATCGTCTTCGCCGGCTGTCCCCCTGCCAGGTTCTGTTACGATGATGGAAAAGAGCCAACTGGAAGATAACCAGGTGCATTTAACGAGACAACGAAGGTGAAGAAGAAAGAAACTACAGAGGCCCTGTCAACTATTTGTAGAGGGCTTCCACGCAAACAGGCCTCATCAGGTTAGTCTGGTCAGGTGCTCCCATCACCCACGTCCATCAGGTGATCTCTGTCCATCGTTCTGTCATGCGTCAAACTATGGAGCCTGTAGAACGATCGTACAAGATCCACGATAAGGAGATGCTAGCAATCATCACATCGCTGAATAAATAGAGGCCAGAGCTCGAAGGCCTATAGCGAGAGGATCGATTCTGGATCCTTACTAACTACTAGTCATTAGAATACTTTATGACATCAAATAAGCTTAATACTAGACAGTTTCGCTAGAGCGAGTTCCTCTCCTGATTTTACTTCCTTGTCAAATATCGATCAGGCAAGCGTAACCTCTTAGTGGACACCCTCTCCCAGAAAGATCTTACAGCAGCAACCACTAGAACACAGAGCCTTCTACTAGAAACGTGCCTCAAAGAAGGAGTATTCCCTCAACTTATAGCTATCGCTATAGCCCTTACCCTTCCCCCTACCGATACCGATACCGACATCGTCCAACGAGTGAAGCGAACAAATCGATAATACTAAGACCTAGACTAGGGACGGGAATAGGCTTAGGCGGTAAAACCATATTGGGAAACCGAAGACGGACTCTTACTCTACGATAATCGATTAGTTGTGCCGGACGATGGTGATCTCCGAGCTCGACTACTTGACGATATCCACCGATAATCTTTGATAGCCCATCCTAGACCAGAGAAGATAAAAAAGCTATTAAGCTCCCGCTACTACTGGCTATGCTGGGCAACCGACGTAGAAAGATATATCGATAACTCTTTGGTTTGTAAGCGGACGAAACACTGGAGAGACCGATTACTAGGTCTACTACATCTATTACCGATTCCTGACCGCCCCTAGCAGCATATCACGATAGACTTCCGATTATTTCTAAAGGACAAAAATGGTTACGACGCAATTTTTATTATCGTCGATCGACTGAGTAAGCGACCGATCTCGATCCCCCACCACAATTTAACCTTAATAAAGGGTATGGCACAGTTATTCATCAACTACGTCTACCGCTGGACAGGGATTCCCGACTCGATGGTATCAGACCGAGGAGGACTGTTCATCTCGGATTTCTGGACTGAATTCTGCCGAATACTTGGTGTAAAGAGGAAGCTTTCAACTGCACACCAACCGCCGACTGACGGACAAAGCGAAAATGCCAATCCGCATATGGCCCAATGGCTACGTCCTTTCGTGAACTACCATCAAGATGATTGGTCATGTTACACTTGGCAAATCATCAAAAATAAGAGTCGATTCAACGAAGATATCGAATCTGAGGAGGGAAAAGAAGAGAAAGAAAAAGAAGAGAAAGAAAAAGAGAAAGAGAGATGAGCCCTCTTTTGTTACTACAACGCCGCCGGAACCTTCCATATCATGTGATCGTTACAGGTCAGACTGGCTCTCTATGATCGATTTCGCAGCCGCTGCGCTACCAGAGGATACTACTGGAATGCCTCCCTTCTTCGTCGAACGAGGAATATCAACCAAGAATGTCCTTCGACTGGTCAATAATACTTGCACAAAGTAAACTCAAGACGCTCGAGACTTCACATCGAGGCTGCACGAGATCTGACAACAAGCCCAGGAAAACGCTACGAAATCGCAAAAGCGCTAGTGGAAACAGGTAGATCGACACTGACATGAGGAAAGCTTTGCCATAGGATATTGAGTCTTTTATCACTACAAAAAACTGGCACACAGATCGGCCAAACAGGAAGCTCGTTGATCTAGCGAGTGGACCCTATGAGATCATCGAGGTCATGCTTATAGACACGACATCCCAGACTCTATTCGTGTCTACGCAGTCTTTTCTTCAGACAAACTACGCCGCGCTGCCTACACAGAGTCGCTCACGGGCCAGTAAGAAGATTCACCACCACCGACTGAAGTGAACGATCATGACGATTGGGAAGCCGCCGAAATACTAGACTGTTGTTTCCGCTACGAGAAGCTACAATACTAGGTTAGCTGGACTGGATATGACATCTACGATACCTGGTATCCAGCGGGAAATCCTGGCCCAGTTCATGCTTTCGTTGAAGCTGCTCGACCAGTTCCGCCACGTTGACCCGGCGGCGACCGGGTGGTCGAATCAGAAGAGTCCTAAAGAACTCTTGAAAGCGCCACAATCAATCGAAGCTTCCAGGGCAATGGTCCTTTGAGACGGATGGGAGAAATAACCAGGGGTAAACTGCCAGGATTTCAGTAAGGCCCCTTGATTTCCACTATGAGCGAAAGCGGCAAAGGCCGTGTGTATGCCGAGGTCGTCTGCGGAGGATTGCGAAGGATGAGGTGAGATCGGCCACTCGGTGATTCAAGGACCTGGTGATTCAGGCCTGCCAGTATCGAAAGCGAGCAGTGGTGCAGCGCGGCGAAACGGTAATGTGGTGATTCAGGACTCGGTGCTTCGAGTGTATGCCGGCAGACGGAGGAAGGGAGATCGGCCTGCTGATGCAGGCCGAAGGGGTGTCAGCTGTCAGAAGGTCAAATAGCTGGGGTCTAATCTTTTGAGGCCATGGGTGCATATGGTGCGGTGCTGCTGATGAGGCTTTCTGGTCGCGGCGCTGAATCCTTCCTTACCGCGCTGCCTGAGGGCGGCCGCGGGGATGTTGAATCGCGGGGGCGGTGACTCCCTGGCTCTCTTTCCTGCCATTCTTTTTGTCTGTTTTGTTTTGTTTGTCGCGTTTGCACTACTTTGTCTGATCGGCAGTAAGCCATCTGACCTCGCTGTGCGCAGCTTCGCATGCGCACTGGACTGGACACCAGAAGGCGCAAATCCCCGCATAGCATCTGTAAATATAGGAAATTCTATTGGGAATAAGAATATTCATTGACTGAACTATGATGCAATCGTGTCGGACTCGTAAGCCACCCGCTACGTGGCCAAGCTTATGATACTGACAGGCCTTCTGGGACAGTTTCGAGACGTCAAAATCGAGCCGGATCCCCTGGAGGGCGAAGACAACGAACCGCCAGGTCATCCTGGCATGAACACAGGTGGTGAAGACGATGGGTATGAGGAACGCCAAAGCCACGGCCCACCGAGAGGTCGTGGGGACTACATCGCCACATCGATAACTGGTGGAGAACACCAGAGACCGACACCGAACCTCGATCAATAGAGAACGAGGCAGGAGGATGATATTGCTAGTGATTGGCAGGGGATAGAGATACAAGTGAGGCAGGGCCAAGATGAGGGAGATCGAGGGCCGTGGGACATACAATAGGCGTGTGGTTACTGTTATTACGAGGGTTTGGGGGGATTTACAGTATTGTGGCGAAACGCCGTTTCTTATGTATCTACTGTTTCATGCGCAAGGGCGGGCGTTCGGAATGCTCTCGCTTCCTTCAGAGCAAGCGCCTGCATAGGCATATGACACTATTTAGGCTGCATCAGGTGGATAGAGTATCATCAATCACAGGTCGGGTGATGACGACTGACCAAGTAAAGATAAGGTGGGTCTGGATGTGATCCTCGGTTGTTCTCTCAATATGTCTGGGCAAGGTTTCCGCAAATCGGCGGTGATATTGTGGCAACAGCTGGAAACAAATTGGCACAGAGAAGATGAAATCTCATTGGTGGGGCTGAAAGGCCCGGAGTATTTTGTGGCTCGAGGACCCGTGGTTCTCAGCCCCGTTTAGCGAGAACGAATCTAGATAATCAAGAACCGTGGATGTCAAGGATGCTATTATCCTTAGACCCGCCAAACGCGGCTTAGGTTGTTTGACGACCAGGATTAGGACGAGGACCCCTGGGTATATTTAGCGGTGTCCTGGTTGTTTCGCAGCTGTTGTGCGACCGCCCCAAAAGGCGCCACGAAATGAAGGGGGAAGATGCTCTTCCACGAACAGGTAGTTATCCTGAACCTGACCTGGGTTTTGGGATCTGCAACTATTCTCATAATGGTTTTGCGCTTGCTCATGCGCAAACTGAGGAAACAACAGCTGGTTCTGAGTGACTATCTTACCATGTTGGCAATCTTGATTGTGCTGGCTCGATCGATAATCGGTACTGTTATAACCTTGTGGGGGGATAATAACTATCACAACCCTGAAAATTTCACCGCAACGGAAATTTACCAGCGTGAAGTCGGAAGCAAGTTGACCGTTGCAAATCGGATGCTGTATAAGGTGTAGTGAGCACAGTAACCTCCGCTGTTTCGCTAATTAAGTTGACTAGTTCTGCAGTCTTTGGATTCAGAAATCGGTTATATTGCTTCTGTACAGCTGCATATTCGCTTGTCTACCTCTCGCTGTGCGAATCATCAAGTTCTTCTGGGTTGTGCTCTTGGTGACCTTCTGCGCTGTGCAAGCTACTACCTTTGTCGACTGCCACCCTGCGCGACTCTTCTGGCAGGTTGTACCGAATCCTGGTTAGCTGATTTCCATCATTGCTTCTAATAACCTCTATATGTAGTATCAGAATCTGACAAACACAAATATAGGACATTGTACAGCTGCGACCATCCAACTATATATCTTTGTGGCTCTCAATACAGCGACCGATCTAATGCTTTTGATCTTCCCTTTACCACTTATCTACAAACTCCACTGTTCTTTGAAAACGTATGTCCTTTTTGACCTGAGCTTGCAAGAATTACGATTTTGAGTTCTAATCCCAACAGTCGGCTCCAGTTACTCGGGTTTTTCTCCTTAGGCATTCTCTTGACCATTATCGCTTGCCTAAGGCTTCCTATATATAAAAAATTGGACCCCGCAACTCCGTCGCAATTTATGGGGCTCTATCGAGCAACTTTGCGCGGCTTTAGTGGCCAACCTTCCAACTCTGTATGGCCTTCGCAGACGGAAAAGCCTTGGGTCTATTTCTCCACCCCACAGCTCTTGCAGCCATGCACCGCCCAACAGATCGACCGGGTGCAGGCGGACATCGGAACAAGAGCTGCTCGATTGGCCACATTTTTTGGATTCCGGGCGAGGATCGTGCCGGGATGACACCGTTACAGAAGAGTCATCGAGTCGAACTGATGAAGGTGATCGCAACGTCTGAAGGTACACCTGAGATCCTACTGGAAAGCCAAAAGTGATAGAAAAGAAGGGAAGAGCAAATAATCACTTGGGGGTGGAGATTGGGTATCATCCAAATGGGTTTAAACAGACATCACCAGAGGGTCTGATATATCGAATATCGAGGAGAAGACTGTACTTGACAGTAGTGGATGAGGCTAACTAGCGCCATACTCTCCTCAACCTAATGGCGAGATTCTTCTTATTCGCCCCCCTTAGTCTGATAGAGATACTAGCCTGACTTTCCCCCCAAGTTTTCGTCATTAGATATCTCTTTGTCATCTTATACTTATTGGGAGAGTTTACCTAGGGTATGTATCAACCAGCACCCAATCCCCTACCAGGAAGCTCCATCATCCGAACTCATTGCAGATTCGTGAACATGATCCTCTATGCAGTCCCACAACCTCCCATGTCTATGGCTTCTTTATCACGGGTGAAGCGATAAGGAGCTGTAACTTTCACGTGAGTGAAACGCACACAGGACAATAAACATTCTCATTTTCATGTCGTTGCTAAGGAAGAGTTAATGAATGTTCCGCAGGACCTTCTTTGTCTGCTCAAAGAGTGGACTAGCACTTCCGTGGATCAAACTGTCTTTCTTGAGGCTTTCCATAGGGGGAATGAAATAGAAAGTTTGCCACGATTAGGCCCCAAAATGATCTCTAAAGGTTGAACCTGAATCTGAGCTTGCTCGCTGCTGGTGCATCTCAGGAAACCTAATGTCCTCGAAACCCCTAGCAGACTCTCCCTCGGCAGCAGTTGTACCAAATCTCTAAAGCCTCTTAGAGACAGGCTTGCTACCGAGGTCTCAAGCAATTCGAATTTTAGTTGCTCCGGTTAATTTCATGATATCCTTGAAGACCTCACCAATTGGAGTGAAATAGTGTTGGGCAGGCGACTCCGATGCTCCGAAGAAGCGACCTACGACTCCTCCTGAAGAGGGGTCATACACTAAGGCTCCGGAGTCCCTGTTACACTTGGCAAATCATCAAAAAGAAGAGATTGTTTAACGAAGATATCGAATCTGAGGGGCGGAAGGAAGAGAAAGGGACAGAGAGATGAGCTCTCTGTTTCACTACTACAAATGCCGGAACCTTCCATATCATGCGATCATTACAGAAAGGGCTACAAAGAAGTTACCTCAGCAACACATGTGTGCTTTGGGAAATCTTTTTTCAAGTCTGGCTGAAATGAGAATTCGGTGCTATGCTGCCTCGTGAAGGTCCATAATCAGGCGCATAATTCCTGTCCTCTATGCTACATATCATCATGTCACTAGTAGTGGCTCATAGAGAGGTCGGCTTATAGGCGTTGGGGAACTTAATAGCGTTGGTTCGCGCAATCAGGAATGACGAACCAGTGACATTCGGGTCTACGGGGATGAAATTGTGCGGGAAGCCAGGGTCGAAGGGCTTGACGCTCTCAAGATACTCGATCTGCTCCTGGGTCAGCTTGAGGCTGAGGGCCTGGATGTTGTCCTGCAGTTGCTCGACCTTGCGGCCGCCGATCAGAGGGAAGACATTGCCGGCCTTGGACATGACGTAGGCCAGCGCGACGGAGGTGACGGATTCAATGCCGTGCTCGGACGCCACCTTCGCCAGAGCCTCACTGGCCTTAATTTCTTCCTCGGTCTGGTGGGGGGTCGGCCGGCGAAGGCACGCAGGCCTTCTCCGGCAGCCTTGCGGCGCTCGAGCTCAGGCTTGGACTGGAACTTGCCTCCACCAAGAACATCCCAGCTGTTTGCGACACAGGTTAGCCGTTGGGTGTTGCTGTCAAAGGGGAGGTTGGACACTCACGGTGCGAGAGCCATGCCGAATTGACGGGCCATGGGGACAATGTCGCGCTCGAAGTCGCGGTTCAGAAGGTTCCAGCGCCCCTGGTAGATGCTGAAGGGAGTCTTTCCGTGGTCGATAGCGTAGGTGTTGGCGGCGGCCACAATCCAGGCAGGGGTGTCCGATGCTCCCAGGTACAGGACCTTACCCTGCTCGACGAGTATGTGAAGGGCGTCCATGACCTCCTTGATCGATGTAGTGAAGTCCCAGAAGTGAACGTAGTAGATATCTAACAGAGGGGATACAAGTCAGCAAGCAGGCTCTCAGGTTAACGATAACAGATTGTCCGAGACTCACCAATGTAGTCGGTGCGCAGCTTCTTCAGCGAGTCGCGGGCACCGACGTGAATGCTGCGCCGGGAGTTACCCGCGAAGTTGGCAGCTTGGGGACCCTTGCCAATTACATAGCTACGGTAGTCCATGCTAAACTTGGTGGCTAGCACCAGCGAGTCACGGTTCTGGCGCGCGCCAACCCATTCGCCAATCCATTGTTCCGACTGCTCGTTCTGGTAGACGCTGGCAGTATCGATGAAGTTTCCACCGGCATCGTAGAAGGCATCCAGGAGCTTGAATGTGGAATCCTTATCCATGGACCCCATCATGCCAGCCCAGGCCTCACCAATGGACATCCCACCCAGCTGCAGAGGGGAGACACGCACGCCTGCAGTGGACGAGAGGATGCGCAGGCGGCCAAGCTCGGTGGAGGGAGTCGGTTCGGCCATAGTGAAGTTTTGGTGGTGGTTCAGTGGTTCGAAAGGCGTTATGGTTGTGTTGGAGAAAGCAAGTCGCGACGCGGTGCTGAGATCGGGGAGTCGATGGGTTCAGTTGGTTGTGAGTTGATGGAGTTCACTGACAAACTCGAAGCCATATTAACAACCCTGAAGCAGAACAAAGAACGCAGCCCCTCCACCCCGAAGCTGTGTCAGCTGCGCATCTGGCCAGCCCCTCATGGTGTGATAGCACGGAGATATCTTGTATCACAGGCGGAGAACGACGCGGCATAAGCGGGCGACGGACATAGACGGAGATACCGGCAGCATGATGCGGACCCTAGTCGCCGCAACCGGGACGAGCTCGTCGACGTGGGAGGAACGTCGGAAGTTTTCTGACTCTGTTCCGGCGCTGGGCAATACGGAGGGAGGAAACCTTGGAAAATTCTGTAAGATTAGTGCTCGTATCGACCAGAATCATATTTAAGGAGATCCTGTCGAGGGATCACAGGGATGGAGAACGGGAGAGGCAGGCGGCCAAACTAAGAGAGATCTGACGGCCGTGGGACACTTCAATAGGCGCTTGAGTACTGTTATTACATGGGTTGTGGGGGATTCACTATGGCAAAACGCCGTTTCCTTATGTATCTACTGTTTCATGGGCGTGGGCTGGCGTTCGGAAAGCTGTTGCTTCGGCCGGAAGGGCCTGCATAGCCATTCGACACTATTAGGCTGCATCAGTTTAATAGAGTATCATCATCCTCGCAGACTATTATAAGTGAGCTTTGCTTCTGAATATCTTTTCATTCAACTCGATTGGCTGGTGGAGGACAAATCAGCCGAAAGGGTACTAGTAACTCTTGTATGCGCGGATCATGCAATCATTATCACGTAGATTCGGAAGCTGGCGCCTAGCTTTGGTCCCCGCTACAACCGACTATTTCATCTCGCCTTATCCGACTTTCTAAACGTTATCTATACACTCTGCTGCCACCAAGTCTGCTTGATAACATTCTTTACTAACAAAATCCTTCAAAGTTACCGAGCTTCCCTCCTCTCATTCATTGTCATGGAGTTAGAAATATATGATGATAGCGATAGGAACATCTGGGATGACGAGAAATATGACCGCTTTGACAGGTCTATGGCAGATCTCAAACGGTTCTTGACCAAGTGGATAATTGAGGTATGTGCTCTGAGGTCTGCATCTGGCTTTTGGAACGAAGAGCAGGACTCAATTATTCCAAATTTTATTGAGGCTCGCACCACCCGTCAGGCTTTCCCTGTTTATTTCCTTTACTTCCAGCTTGCACTAACTCCATTTTGCTTGCTAATCACAGACATGCAAGCTAGATGCATGTATGCACTTGTTTCTAGTTGAGCTCAACGACATTCGCAGGAGTGCCAAAGGCCATCCTAAGCTTCTGGATTTCACCGAATTCGAAGACAACCACCGGATGAGATTGCACCGCGCATCAGTGAAGCTGGAAGACGATATTAATTGCCTCATTCCGGGGTTTTGGGATAGCAAGACTGAGTGCAATATCCTGGATCAGGAAAAGATGAGGGAAAAGCTCCAGCAACGTTGGACGCAGCTGTGTGGATATCGGAATCTAGCTAGCCCTGACTTTGGCAAGCAATGGCTCCACGTCTCTCACAAGTCTTCTCAATGCTGCCGTCTCCAAATACCGTCGACAGACTGAGGATACAAGACAGCATTCAGAGCCTCCTAAGTTATGCCAAGTCGCGTTTGAAAAGGCTTGTCACCAGTTAAAGGGTTCTGTCTCTGGTGAAAAGGCATCGGCAACTTTTGCCTGTGGAGGGACAATATCGATTGGAGACAAGCCATCTCCGGCCATTCACCGAGTATCACCGCCCGTTCGTATTGCTTGGACTGCTAAAGATGATTCCGAGGAGCGAAAGATTGTTTTATCACTCAGTGATTCTCCTAGTGCTGGTGTTGATAAACTTCTCCAATTGGTTTCAGACTGCGAAGCCGCCAGTTTTGGTATGGGAGAACAAGATATCATTGATCCTAAATATCGAAAAGCCGGAAAGCTCGATCCACATCGGTTCTTAAGCAGCCTTTATCCGGCCGATTTTAGAGTGCTTGATGATATGGAGCAATTTCTATTGCCAAACTTCAATAGTGAGGTGGAAAATAAACTCCCTTTTCGAAGGCTCAGCACGGAGCTCTACAAACTCAATGTATGTCTTGTCATCGATAGACCTTGGGCTTTCTTACTGATCATCATGCGTCTTCACTTAGATCTATTCTGGGCCAGATGGTGTTTTTCGAAAGCATGTTGATACCCCTCGCTCTGATTCTCAAATTGGCTCTCTTGTTGTTTGTTTACCATCCGTGTTCAAAGGCGGCAAGCTAATTGTTCGGCATAATAATACCATTACTGAGTTTGATTGGAGCTCTCATAGCTCCTCGGAAATCCAATGGGCTGCATTTTACAGCGACTGTGAGCATGAGATCAGCAAAGTCACTGAGGGCAATCGAATCATTTTGACATACAACCTCTATGTTGCTAACTCGGGCTGCGGATCTCTTCCTCGCAACGTTAATGTCGACCCCCGAACACTACCCTTATATAGATCCTTGAAGGATGCTATAGCCGAGCCCGGCTTCATGAAGGATGTTATTTCATACACTCTTAATATCCCTCGGCCGTAGGATTACCATGGGGAATGCTGACCTTGATAGGTGGTATTCTCGGTATCCACTGCTCTCACGCATATCCACACGTGTCTTTAGAAGCCCAGGAGCTTCTGCCCAATGGGCTCAAAGGCGTTGACTTGGCTTTCTACTCCGTGTTCAAGTCCCTTGGTATTGAGCTTCATGTGCTTCCTCTACTGCAGCCCAAGCATGACAACAGTATAGAAAAGTATGCGGTAAAGGGGATGATGAAGTTTCTACAGCAGGGTGAAGAATTCGACCTATCAGCTGGGCACGACCTATCGGTTGGGCAAAATGCCCGAGTTATACCATATCACTCGGATGTGCATCACTATTGGAGGATGCTCTATCTTTCTCGCCATGTCCCGGGAACGAAAAAGGTTGTCGAATTTGCTCATGACCAAGGGTTACAAACGGATGACGAAATATTTCCGGATGCAAAAGGAAAATATCTTGGGGCGGGGTTGCGCCCATACTCGGTTGCTGATACTGGTGAAGACATAGAAGAGGAAGACATCTCAACCGTGAGTTAGCGATTTTTGCTTCACGAGGTCTTGTTCTTTCTATTATCATTATTAACTTAATCAATATAGCTTGTCGATGAACTATGGCCAGCACAGTTATTCCTGATATCACGTGGATTTCCCAACCCGGCCATGAGGAGATGGCGTTTACTTATATGGCCTATGGGAATCAGGCGTCCATTGGAACAATGTATTCCTGCGCTACCATCCTTGCAGTAATACCTCCATTTGACCAACGTCAATGTGTTCAGGAGAGCATGAACCGGTAAGGAAGCTCCATCCGGCAGTCAGATTATTGATTTAGTGATGGCCACATCGCCCGATGGTAGCTTCCGAGCCGCCACTACTCGGATGCTAGCAATCGCGCCGCTATCCTTCCCTCTAGCCACAGCGAATGGTTCCTGTCTGTCAACTGGACTAGGTCCGTCTCGGTCGACGCTGCCCGTGCCGCCTCATCACGAATCTTGACAATGATCTGCCGGTCCTGCTGTAGTCGGATGTGCAGGACGCCGGTAGTGGTTGTGCCTTCCGAGCGCGGCTACGAAGCCGTAGGGCCAGCCGGTGCAACTGACTGCCGCCACCCCTGAGTTCGGAAGCCGCGCCACGCCGCTGCTGACGATTCCCAGGAGATGGAGGATGAATCGAGCTTGTTGATTTCGAGATCTCGGTAGCCGATCTCTCGATGGTATCCATTCCTGGATAAGGTGATTGGTGGTGCGGGAGGTCTTCTCCAGTGCCATTCAGAACCTTTCCATCCCCTGCGTGTCACCCCGTTGAGCTTTCTTCGCGTATTGGTAGACCAACTTGACGAAGCCATGGACAGCACCAGTGTTCTCGTGGGCGGAGGCCTCGATATAGTGGAGGATAGATCGGCTGCTCTCTCTATCCCTTCCATGCTTTCGCATTGGTCGCTTTTTTCGGATTGGTCGTTTCTTTCGCATTGGTCGTTTGTTGGCCGGATATCTCGCTGTTGATGCTGGGGATTCTGCCTTCGGAGGCAGAGAATTCCCACCCCTGGATGAGTGCACATATAGCAAATTGGGCGCTCTCATAACCTCCACCGCTAATAACGACATCAACCAGGTATCAAACGATAGTGCCTGGAGTTAGATTGAATTTGAACTAGGTCTAAAGATCATAGGACCACTGGCTGTCGAGATATCGCAAGAAATTGATTTGGCCAAGAGATAATTGGACCGTTTACTTGTGTATCTACTGTTTCATGGGCGTGGGCAGGCGTTCGGAACACTGTTGCATCCGGAGGAAGCGCCTGCATAGGCTATAGCCATACGACACTAGTTTGGCCGCATCAGGTTAATAAAGTATCATCATCATCTACAAGGATCTACATGGCCCTAACCGCTGCGGCAAATTAGGGCCGTACCTGGTCGGTGCCCTTCTCTCAAGATTCGGCATCCCCGAGGCTTCTGCGGGAGCCAATCAACAGCTTATCATTTTAAGCGTACTAACTTAGTCAATCGGGGGCAGAAGCGCTGGGCCGGTCACTTATCAACGCTTATATTAGGGATTAGTTTCTGTTTTTGCGTCGTAATCGAATATAGCCCGCTCAGCAAACCCTGGATAACCAAAGACTCCGTAAGTTGATAGGTTATTCCCGACTTGTTTTAGAAGAATACAACTGCTATATCAATCAAAATAGTTCTCCTAGACTCGGCTTGTCGGTCACAATCAAAGGCAAGACTAGTGTAGAGCAACCCGCTAGGGGACATGTGATGTGCCGCTTTGAGGAACGCTTAGCTTGCCCCAGCATCCTAGTTTACTTGGCAGCGCTAAGTCAGTTTAATGCGATCGGATTTCAAAGAAGGAGCAGGATGATAAAGAGTAACGGAAATGGTCACAAATTTCCTCCTAAGATATACCTCCTCGCCTTCACCCACTTTAGATTCTTAGCTACCCGCTGCCTACTTTGCGTGCCTTGCCTGACGTATCCACTTGGGGGTTTGCTATGTCTTTCCAATCGCCGAGAGGGTCGTTCATCCTGACGCTTTGTTTTGCTTCGTGCGCTCTTGCATATTGGACCCCATGTTCCTTGGACGCCTGGGTTCTCAATCTTCAGTATTGTTCGCAACCGTGTTATGGATAGTCATTCTACGATTCTTTCTACAACACCACCGTGTGTGGAGACTATAATACCGTGTTTGACAGCACAAAACAGTCTGATGTCGATTGTCTTTGCTCCAATCAAATTGCCAGAATATCAGATCAGAAGAACATCACAAACTGCTCAGTGGATCTCTGCGGATACTCCTTCAATGAAACACGTTACGCCAATGATGAGGAGGCTTATATGAGGATGTGCCTCTGGGTATTCGGTTAGTAATCTTAGGAGGCATGCTTGGAGGACTCAAGTAACAACCTAACGCTGATAGGAGATTATTCGTACATGAAGTGTAACTCCACAACTTCTACAGCTGCATTATTCGTCTCGCAACCTCTGAAATTCTTCACTGCCTTCAGTATGGTCGTGGGTGCTCTTGCCTATTAAGTGCTGGATCTGAGGGAAAGAATCTGGCGGGCAGATATGACTTGTAATATAGTTCTCCTTTTAGATTTGGCAAATCATCAAAAAGAAGAGTCCGTTCAACGAAGATATAGAATCCGACGAAGAAAAAAGAAGAGAAAGAGAAAGAGAAGGAGAAAGATAAAGAGAGATGAGCTCTCTATTTTACTACTACGACGCCGCCGTAACCTTCCATATTATGTGATCGTTACAATACAACTTCTAGGGCAGTGGTCCTTTGACACCGATGGGACACATAACCAGGGGCAAACCTCCAAGACCTCACCCTGCCCCCTTGATTTCTACGAACAGCAAAAGCTGCAAAGGCCATGTGTGCGCGAAGGACATTGGGAGATCGGCCCACTCCGTGATGCGAGAACCTGATTATTTAGGCCTGCAAGTATCGAAAGCGAGCAGTGGTGCAGCGCTACGAAACGGCAATCTGGCGATTCAAGACTCGGTGATTCGGGTGCACGCCGGCGGGCGGCGGAAGGAGGGAAGGGAGATTGGCTTAGTAATGCAGATCGAAGGGGTTTTGATTTTGGTAGATAGAGGATCAGATAGCTGGTGTCTGACCGGTTGAGACCATGGGTGCACATGGGGCGGTGCTGCTGATGAGGGTTTTTGATCGCAGCGTTGAATTTCTCCTTACAAACGCTGCATGAGGACAGCCGCGGGGACGTTTGATCGCGGGGCCGGTGACTCCATAGCACAGTCCTTTTTTCTGATTTGTTTTATTGTCGCGTTTGCACTACTTTCTTTGGTCTGATCGGCAGTAAGCTATCTGACCTCTCTGCGGGCAGCTTCGCATGCGAACTGGGCTGGTCACCGGAACGCGCAAATCCCTGCATAGCACCTGTATCTAAGGTAGTTCCATCGGGAATAAGACGATTGATTGATTGATGTGCGGGACTCCGATAGAGGATGTGCCCTCTGAGCGAGGCCATGAGGTCGCCGTGCCCACCTCGAAGGGAGCCGCTTTTGCGACCGTCTGCCGCCACCCCTGAGCTCGGAAGTCGCGCCACGCCCTCGCTGAGGATTACCGGGTGATCGAAGAATGGATAAATTTCGAGATCTCGGTAGCCGATCTTACGATGGTATCCATTCGCATGGAAAGGTGGTCAGTGGTGCGCGAGACCTTCTCTAACGCGACCAAGGACCTTCTCCATCCCCTACCTCACCGCGTTGGGCTTTCTCGCGTATTGGTGACCTGCTTGACGAAACCATTGACAGCACCGGTCGTTTCATGAGTGGGAGCCTCGATGTAGTGGAGGATAGATGCGGCTGCTCTCTCTATCTCTTCTATGCTTTCGAATTGCGCGCGTCTTTTGGTGGATCGGTTTTGATGATTCTGCTGATTCCGCTGTTGATTTTGCGCGCGTGGCCCGGTCGGAGGTAGAAAATTCCGACCCGTGGATGGGTGCACGAATGGCAGATTCGGCGTCCTCACAACCGCCATCCCTAATAACGATATCAAACCGGTATCAAACGATAGCGCCTGGAGTGAAGTTGAATTTGAACTAGGTCTCGAAATCCTAGGACCTCTGGTAGTAGAGATATCAAAAGAAGTCGATCTCCGCCAAGAGATAGTTTTTTTATTTTTAATAGCAATTCAGACTCTTGTGACTACATTGGTTGAAGCATATATCTATTTTACCCTGGGTTGCGACACTTAACAAGCTAGCTTACAAGAAATGACACTCCGACTATAATTGTGTTGACTGTTTAGCCCTGGGAATGTCAAAAATGGATGGTGGAGTAGTCGAACGGGTGCGCCTCTCCTTTTCCAGCTTGTCTGCAGTCATCCAAGGATCTTCTTTTTCCATGACCAGATTCTGTGTAGTGATGCGCTTGGATAAAGTGCAGCCAGTCAACAATGTGACCCAAAAGATCATACTGTGTTTGAGCTCGTTGGGCGAAGTCGCTGTACCACTCTTCTCGAGCCCTCTTCTCGCAATTGAAGTATGAGACGAATTGCACTGTCCTGGTTTGCCTCTTTGATCCCATGAAGAGAGAAAGTCAGTGAGCCAACCTTGGCCCACTGGTACCAGAGCAGACCAAGGACTGTAGACTAATACGAGGATTTGCTCTTGACGGGTAGCTCTATTCAGTCAAGTATTGGCATATTAGTCACTAAGTCCAAATGTATCATAGATCCCGCATCAATCACAAACTTACCCCCAGTAATTGAAAAGCATATTCAAGTGAGCGTCAGTCACTTTCGTTCTCCGAGACGTCAAAAATTGTTATGTCCATATCTAGACAAACACCGAATGGATGTAGACCGCAAAATCCTCTGTGGGACAAGTCCTGTATAGCATCTCCACACCCATCTGAGAATTATTGAATGTACTGTTGTGGTTATGCTCGGATTTCTGGCTTCTTGTGTTGAGAATCCTCGAGACCTTCCAGAGCAGCCGTGTTACTATCATGGACATCCTTGCTGAGAACAGAAGCGAACTCATACGTTTTTATAAACAGTTAAGTCGTGTCACATTCTCCTTTTCCCTCTGACATCCTGCCCCAGAAGAGCTGGAGACAGTCACTCATTGCCCAGAGCTTCCGTCGGAGACCCTCGAACAAACCATTCACCCACAGATTTTCAATCCCAGCGCGGAAAGAGATCCAATCCATGTCGGGGTCTGAGCTGTAACCTAGCATCGTGGGCAAATGATCCTGAGGGATTATGCCCATAGGGTACCAAGTGCCAGTGGGTCCACCGGCGTTGTGCCCAGAAGGAGTTTGTCTCTCCTGTCTCATAGATTCCAAATGCAGCTGGTCATTGCCTCGTGAGAATGTAGCGTTATTTAAACTGTATTCTAGGCTTCACAGGCGTCCGCAAATCTGGGTGATTTATTTCAGACTGCATAGAGACTGGGAGAAGGCCCGATATTTGTTGCGTACAAGTTTCGCGAGACACTTGATGCAGCTGTGTGTGACGCGTAATAGACGATGATAGACTGGGAGAGCGAAAGCCCTGTGGTCAAATGACTCGGAGATCACCTGAGGGACATGGAAGAAGGAAGCACCTGATCGGACTAACCTGATGGGGCCCGTTTGCATAGGACCTCTCGACATAATAGCGGACTCCCCTATAGTTTCTTCCTTCTTCACTTTATTTGTTTCGTTGAATGCACCCTGTTCTTTCAGCTGGCTCCGTAACAGTTATTCTGGGATATGAATTCCCCCGAAGTTTAGTACTACCAAGGACTTGCCGTTGGCGTCGATCAAGATTCGTGACGCACTCGGCCGAATGCGCACGCAACAGTGCGTGTGGAGAACGTTGGACGAACACCCATCGTCGCAACTAAACATTCTCTCCTGGGAGCAGACTGTGCGTGCATTGAAGAAGAAAGGCACGGACGCCTTCTTGTATTTGGTCAGGCCCGCCTCCGAAGGTAGTGGAGGAGGAGAAGTTGTACGGGCACAAGATCTGCACCCAGACCCGAGGATCCAGAGGCTGCGGCCGTGAGGATCTCCGGTGATCTTCGTACAGAAGCCTGGTTGAGAATGGAGGATGCGCATCGACTACCGCGCACTGAACAACCTCACGAAAAAAAGACAGCTACCTGTTGCTACGAATCCCGGCATTGGATCTGGTTGGCCGTTCGAAGCATCTGTCAAAGCTAGACCTCGCGTCGTGGTACTGGCAGATGCGCATGGGTGAGGATTCGATCCAGAAGACGGCGTTCAACACAATTTGTGGGAAGTACGAATGGCTAGGGATGCTGTTCGGACTATACAATGCACCAGCGACCTTCCAAACCCCCGATGAATACACCTTACGGCCGATGTTGGGGAAGAGCGGGTTAGTGTATTTGGATTATATCCTAATATTCTCAAACATGGCTGAGGAACACTACTAGCACTTACGGGAGGTGTGCAGAGGTTGCGTGACGCGCAACTATATGCGAAACCGTCAAAATGTATGTTTGCCGAGAGCAAATTGAATTTCTGCGGGCACATGCTCGGTAGTGGGAGAGTCGAGCCGGTACGGGCGAAAGTCGACCTTGCCCGGGACTGGCCGGTCCCGAAGACTGCTTATGATATGCGATAGTGTCTGGGCCTCGCCTTATACTACCGACGGTTCGTGAAGGGGTTCGCGGAGATTGCCGCCCCCTTAAACAACCTGCTGAAAGAAACCGACGAGTTGCTTCGTACGAAGACGTTTCCTGAAGTTGGGTGGGAACCGGAATGCGACTAGGCGTTCGTGCGGTTGAAACAGCACTCCACTCGGCACCCGTGCTAGTGCAGCCAGACATGTCTAAGGCCTTCTCGATCGAAACCGACGCGTCAGAGTGGGCCACCGGATATGTCCTCTCACAGGACGGAGAGGATGAAATGCTTCATCCGGTGGCGTCAGATGGGCGTAAGCTCCGTGGCGCGGAACTGAATTACCTCGCCCACGAGAAAGAGCTCCTGGCAGTGAAGGAAGCAATGCGGGCGTGGGATACTTATATCGACAACGGCACTCGTACGACCATTTTCACGGACCATGAGGGTAACCATTACCTGCCAACAACGAGCACGTATAGCAAGCAGCTGGCTCGCTGGGTCGCGGAGTTCCAGCAGTATAACCCGGATATTTAGCACCGGAAGAGCGCCGACGCGGTCGTGCCGGATGCCATGAGCCGGCGACGGGACTGATGACGGCCCGGCCAACATGACGAGTGTCGAAGGGGTGCCACCGGTTTTAAACGTGGTCCGCACGGTCCATGGGGTCACAGAAGATGAAGGGCTCAGTGCGACGGTGGCGTTCCTTTGAACTGGGAAATTCGCCGAAGAACAGTCGCTGCGCCGTTCGTGCCCGTATATTCTCGCAGTCTGGTGCTGGAGGGTGCTCCTGAGGCCCTGGAGTACAGGCATGAGCATGGCACGTGTGTCACCGTACGTGGGCGTCGACGAACGCTAGGACGTTACTTGGTGTCAGAACATGAAGGGATAACTTACAGCTAGCAACTGATGGGCCACGGATGGGCCCACATTTGTTAGGTATTTGTAGTTAATTTTACATAACTTATGGTTTAGTAATGAACTCATGCTTTGTTACTAACCAACAGCCGGGTGTCGGCGACACAGACACGTGTCGCAGGGGGTTGCTTTCAATGGCGCTCCCCCCGTTTTTCTTCTCAATTAATCAATCTTGTTCATCTAAATTGGTTCCGCTTGATCTCATTCGTCTTCCTTGCATACTAGGCTACACAGTATCAGCTGGTTGTGACACTTGGCGACTGCGTCGCCTCGGGTAGTCTGGTCTTCGCGGTATAATGAAGACTCGAGGTTGGTGGCCGACGATGCGCGCGGATGTGGAGGAGGTTGTGCGGACATGCCCAATCTGCCGGGTGTCGCAGGGTTCGAAGGAGATGTGACGCATGACAGACGATGATAGACTAGGAGAGCGAAGGCCCTGTGGTCAGATGATGCGGAGGTCACCCGAGAGATGTGTGAAGAAGGGAACAGCCGATCGGACTAACCTGATGGGGCCCGTTTGCATGACAGCTCTCTACAAAACAGTTGACACCCCCTTCATAGTTTCTTCCTTCTTCACTTTAGTTTTTCCGTTGAATGCACCTGGTTCTTTTCCAGCTAGGCTCCGTAACAGGAGAGACTCTTCAACGGAAATCTGTGAGATAGTTTAATTATCGTAGGACGTTGTGCAGCCGTTCAAACGGTGGGGCTTGGACTTCATTGGCCGAATACCCGGAGGGAGACCGTGATTCCAGGTCGGCTCGTCCTGTTTTCACGGTCGGCTCAACCCACAACAGATGATAAGTACTGTATCGCTCAACCCCTTTTTTCCGATTACCTAGTTGGGTTTAGTGTGGTAAATTCCCCCTGTTCGCACAATGTCTGAAAAATTCAGAACTGCTTGGTAACTGGTTCTCAGTTTCACGACCTGGCCAATAATGAGAATGAGCTTTCCTGGATTGCTACTAGTAATCTAGCGATTATAGGCTAGTCAACCTTGATTCCCATATAGCTCACGATCTAGCTACTAATCAAGAAGGGCTAGTAACTCTTGAGGATACAATATATCTGTCCGCGACCGGAGGACTGCAGTGGAGTTGTAACGGTTAACTACTTGTCAGGGTAGAAGCCTGTCGATTAGGTAAAGAATCAATGGCGAAAAGGTAGGGAAACACAACTGATGTTACGAAAGAGCCAGCCGGAATGAACCAGGTGCATTCAATGAAACTAAAGTGAAGGAAGAAACCATGGAGGGGGTGTCGGCCTTGTTGTAGAGAGCTCTCATGCAAACGGGCCTTCCATATCATGTGCCCGAAAGGGAAATTATTAGAAAGATCAAACGCTAGATAACCCCTCCTTAGAAAACTACATGCCTGTAAAATATTCGTGTAGAAACTAGTAAACTAGTTTGAAAGTAGTTAAGCCTCATTCGCATCTTGCAAATCAAGCTACCTAGGAACTTCACGAGGGTCCGAGAAGAGCTCAAAGTGATCGCAGTATGCGGAAGATTGGTCAGAGCAGCAGGCTAAAAAGAAGTTAATAGCTAATGTAGAACTAATTCTTTGGTCAACTTACCACTGCTTAGATTCTTCAGCTTGCAACAAACGCAGGGGATAGTGAAATCCTGGTTGCGAACCTCCTTTTTCATCAGGGTACTGTTGATCTAGGAAAAGTTAGTAAAAGAACTAGTCTATAGCTAGATTTTTGACTTCACTTTTAAAGGAAGAGAGGGTAGATTAGGCTGGTCATTCCGATGACGCTCCTCCCACTTCACGATGATACCCTCGAAAAAGGCTAGGTATATTTCGTAAAACTAGCTCTTTTCCTAAGATAACTAGCTCTAAACTTACTAAGAGCCTCCGCAATCTCGGCAGTTGTAGCACGACCGCCCTTTTCCTTTGAAGTAAGGGTGATATCCTTGTGAACGAGTTTGAAATGGTGGTGAAGACCATTGGTGCTTGCGAAGCAGGTCTGGAAGAACTAGTCAGTAGCTGGTTCTTCGGTTCTTGAATAGTCCACGCCAAAAACCCAAAAGCTAGTTTTGAATTTCTGAAATGAGAAATAAAGTGAGAGGAACTTACATGGGTAGGGCAACCAGCAACACGACAAAAGCGCTCGCCAGCGAAGAGGGTGGCCACCTCGTTATTCTGAGTGATCAAAGAAGTCAGCAACTGGTTTCAGAGCGTGAAGAGCTAGTTCTTTACCCGAATATCGAGATCAGGCAGTTGGAGGTCAACCCGGCTGCCCGCCAGGTAGGCCTGGTAGGCTGCGCTCTTCTCAAGCACACCCTGACCCATGGTGAGGAGCGAATACTGAAGGGGAGAAGGAGCTTTGAACTAGTTTGAAAGGAGCAGGGGGGTAGGAGGTCGAGCGTAAGAATGTGTAAGGGTGTGTAAGATGGTAAGTTTGGAAAGTGGGTCCGGCTCAGATCGTGTGGGTACGGAAAAACTTATGGATGAGCGCGGATAGCAAATGGGCTGAGCCGACATGTACTCTCCTACACGGTGCTATATACTGGTAGCTGATTGGTGTCAGAACAAGAAATAACCGTATAGACTAAGAATGTTGCCCATGGAGCATTTTTGGTATAGCAGTATTATGCCCCCATATTTTGTGCGACAATTGGGTTCTTGCCCCAGCTGGTGAGATAGCCAGCGCTTTCGGCCTCTGCACTTCGCCACTCCTCTGGATTAGGATATGGATACTGGTACGACTTACTGCAAGGGTCGCAAGAACGTTACCTGCGCAACCCCTGTAACGTAATCTGACACCGAATGGCGTATGACAATTGACAGACACCTAGCGGTGCGGTCAACCGCTGACTCTTCACAAACTTCTACTAACTTAATACCTTGATATCCTGGATTAGAACTGCAGATTCTGCAGAAACATCTAACTTAAGGTTTTGGTCTTAGCGTTGTTTTCTAGTTTCACACGTGGGTGGGCTTAGGGTGTGAATCCCGGGCCCCCTGTCATGAAAAGGTGGAACCTTTTGCTAGTCTTATTAAGTATAGTGGCTGTTCAATAGTATTTGGAACACAGTACTTCCATCTACTAGCAGAAATATAAATGGGGTATGTAGCATGTTCCAAATACTAATGAGCGCTAACTATAGATGACATGCATACCTACTCACTCTGTGAGTATACATGTAGATAGGACCAAAAGGTCCTCTATTATATGCCAGAAGTTTATTTATGTTTCATAAAGAAAATGAAATAGGAAATGAAGGTCGATATGAGCCTGTACCTACGTGATTATAGATTTGTATAAAAGCTGGCTCTCTTAGGGGGGCCGGGTGCTTTTTGAGCTAGTGGCGGGTCACATCAGTCCGAATCATCAGGGTAACTTTGGGCGTAAGGGTGGACTCCAGCAATAGTGGTTAACCAAGCACGCCGTCTCTATCTAGTAGACCATGGAAGCTTGTAAAAGCGGAACCCTATACCAATGGACAATTGGACCAAATAATCCCTCATTGTTCTTTATGAGCTAGCCAATCATAATTATCAACGATGTCCATGTGGTAGGAAGTTCTGTGGTAGTAAAAGATATAAAAGCAAGATATTTATCATATCTTCTTCTTCCAACGCATCCTACCTCAATTGTCAGCGTCCCTCTACAATCAGTCGAACATAACAAGACATCTCTCATCAAGGTACGGCTAGTTTTACAGTCCTTAAGGAATGATACTAAGCATTGTTCAGATGAAGTTCCAACTCCTTGCTGCTCTGGCAGTTATATTTGCTGCCTTTGCCAATGCCAACAACACATGTCCTTGCGACAATGATGCTCTCTGTTGCTGTTGCGCGGTACGTGCTAATTAAATATAACCGGACAGATCTCGGATAGTTTCCCGTTGCTAACTATTAAGCACTAGGATAATGAAAAGATTCCAGGCGGGAGTGGCTTCGTGTTTACCTTTTGGACTGGACAACCATTATGTTACGGCCAGACGAACTGTGATGATGCGTGCACGAGTTGGACTGTGAATTCTGGCAACGACTGCGAGTTCTATGAGACTACAGGCTATCATCCCTGCAGGATGATCCATGTGCCTACGGTTGGGGCAAATACCAACTTCCATTTTACCACCGATGTCATCGCCGGTGCATGGGCCTGGGAGTCGGGCACAATTGGAGGTGTCAATCTCCATGATAATGGTCTTCTTACTTGGAATGCTCAGTCTGACAAAGTTCAATCCGTTTGCATCGCATACAAGAACAACGGAGGATATTTCTGCTACGAGAGACCAGGACAGGCGGCATGTGTGATTGATACATCACCAGAGAACATTGACGATATGTGGGGCTTTCCTTAAATACGAGGACTTCACGCAGGTCATTGTTGATGGTGCATTTGACTGTTCAGTAGGCGGAGATGCCTTGGACTCGAATGGGGGCTTGAACTGGAGTCTAACAATGAGTTCAGACAAGAAGGCTTGATTTGCAAGATGAAAGGATGGACGGGGCTTGCTCGAGAATTACCAGAACTATAGAAGTGACATATTTGTTTCTGTAATTCATCTGTCCAGTTCTATCTCTATTCCTATTTCTATGATACTTCCATGGTCGAAAGGCAACTCAGGTATGTACCACGATTTCGGTGAACATCTTACTCTCGAAGAGGGTAGACGATCTCGTGGCGCACGGAAATCGAAAGTGAATGCAGACCATCAGGACAGCCAGGTCAGCCAGGAAAGGGGCGCGGTCGAGCGTCTAGACTGTTACAAAGGCGCCAGCTGGAAAGAACCAGGTGCACTCAACAGAACAACTGAAGTGAAGAAGGAACAAACTATGGAGAGGGTGTCCGCTATCATGTAGAGAGCTCTTCATGCAAACGGGCCCCATCAGGTTAGTCCGATCAGCTGTTCCCTTCTTCACACATCCCTCAGGCAATCTCCGCATCATCCACAGGGCCTTCGCTCTCCAAGTCCATCGTCCTGTCATGCGTCACAAAAACCTCGTAGGTAACGTATTCCTTTAGGTCTAGCTCCCATATAGTGACTTAGCTAGGATCGTCCACCAATCCATACAGGCACTCTGCAATAGCGTCTGGTACGTAGTATCTTTTCCCCGTTGGGGAGTTCCACCGCTAGGCAGTCCTTACGGAACTCCGGTTGGTGCCACTACACCTTGCCCGCCAGGTTTCGGGCTATCTCATGGAACACGAATGTATGGCTGGCGCCACTGTCGAGTAGCGTCTTCCTCCACTGCCCCGTCGTCGTGCAGCCCTAGCTTCCCACGGAAGAACATGAGGGCGCTCCCGACGACGTTCGGCCACGCCGGGCGTTCCTGCGATTCTGTTTTTGTAAGTATCTTCGAGAAGGGGGCATTAAGGGGGTCAACCAGGTCGATAACGGGGGTGTGGGAAGCCTCCTGGAAGCGGCCGGGAAAAGCCTTAAGATCCTCTACCGGCCCACAATTTTTCCCTGAGCTTCGCTCATGTTACGATGATGGAAAAGAGCCAACTGGAAAGGTAACCAGGTGCATTCAACGAAACAACGAAGGTGAAGAAGAAAGAAACTACAGAGGCCCTGTCAACTATTTTGTAGAGGGTTTCCACGCAAACAGGCCTCATCAGGTTAGTCTGGTCAGGTGCTCTCATCACCCACGTCCATCAGGTGATCTCTGTCCATTGTTCTGTTATGCGTCACAGCTCATACGGACTTTCGGGTCGACTTCCGGGCGGTTGCGTCTGAGGTGGCCTGGCTTGTTACATCCTAACAGGAGGGATTCTCCATCCGGGGCACTGATGGTTATCAATCGCCGACAGTTCCATGGCGTGCGGGTCCGTTTGGGGCTCTTTCGCAAGGCTGATGCCTCTCTCCAGTTGACAGAACGGATCGATCGTGTCGGCGAGGCTCTTCGGGGGTTCTCGCTCCTGTAGCCATTTGGCCTTCAGCTCTGGCCGGGATCCGTTGATCAGCCGTAGGCGGATGATGTTCTCGGGAATAGGCACGGCCACCATATTCGCCAGGTCTTGCAGGCGGGTAGCCAAGTGCTCGCAGCGGTTCCGGCCCTGGGTTTCATCCTGGAAGCGGCCGTACCAAGCTTGCTCCTCTAGACGCTCTCTAAACTGTTGGCTTATGCACTGACGGAATCCCCCTCAGCTTCGTACGACCTCGCCATGGCCGGCCTCTATTCCATCTCAGAGCGTATGCCAGCGGGTCAGTGCCTTCTTGGTGAGAGCATTACCGGCAGCCATGATCTTCTGGTCGTCCGTCATGATCTGTGCCGACAGGCGGGCCACTCGCTCGAAATACTCTTCGCAGTCTCAGAGCCAATGCAGGGCCGCATCATCGCGGGTCCATCCCTAGTACGGCGGCATCGTATTGACATAGCGCATTAGGGCTCGGTCCAGGATCGCTGTCGGCGCCGCACCCGTCCGGTTCGGCGGTGACTGGTGCAACGCCATCGTCATGATAGCATGTTCCTGCAGCTGCTGCAGTTCGGTCGGCAGACAGATTAGTGCCATCAGGAGGTCGGCGGGGACTGCATCGTTCGCGCCCCCGTTAGCGACAGCTTTTGGGGGTTTATGTACGGGGATTTCCTCGGCCGGTGTGGCCGTGGCTCCCTGGTTCTCGTCGGCGCTAAACGACATAATAAGGGTTTGAAACAGTTAGAACAGTTGTTTGGGGACTGGGAATACATTTCTCGGTTCAAGATTATGCCCCGTTTCCAACCCGTCCGGTCCGGCCTTACATTGTAACCTTCCGTATCATCTCTTCTCGGAGACGTGTCGTCAGAGTTCTCTCTCCGGTCGTCGGCCATAGCGTGGAGTCTTCCTATGGTTTCCAGTAGGGCATTCCTTTCCAGGGCATCCGACTGGCGTCGTCGTAGCCCGTTCGTCCTGTCTATGGATACCCCTCAATGGCCCGTGCCGCTACCGGCGACTCCAACTTTTCGTCCCCCTTCCTTCGGCCTCACAGGACTCAGCTGGCGAGGTCGAGCAGTTCACGACGTCGGAGCTCCCCATATGACCGCAAGAGCGCCGCCGTGCGGCATCCAAGGTATTTAGTACTTCCGCTCTTGCGCCGGTGAGGGATCTTTCCACCAGGATCCCTTGGCCTACCGTCTGAGGCAGGGTCTAGTAGGGTTTGCTACCAGATGAGAGACCAGAATGGAATATTCGATTGTCATTCCCGACATGGGAAGGACTCTATTTAAGATAAAGTACTTTCCTTTAGTGTCTCATGATTTCGTGACAGCTTGTATGGGCCTCGATCAACATCTGAGCTATCCTCACGATCGTAGCCCTGTAATCGACTTTGGGACATTTCCAAGGGTGCTGGGTAGGACCTCATAGGACGCTGGGTTCTAGATTCAATCCCTAGGGGCCATCACAGAGAAACCTCATCTTGCACCTATTCTTCCATACTCTACATTGTAGTCTAAGAGTACAAGGTTCTGTCACTGGGTCGTGTGGGTCCTGTCCTCCCTCCAGCTGCAAGTAAAGGCATCTTCAGCGCCTAATTCCTCCTCACCTTGCATGGAAACCCTCGACCAAGACACGATCACCTTCTTCAGCCATGCCTGTTAACCTTCTCTTTCGAGGTTCCAGCGCCTCTACCCTGGCTCTATTTCACCTCTGGCCAAGAATGTCAACTTCCTCGCGATCAGTTATTATCGCAGGCACAAAACCCGCTTTTCGTATCTGGGTCCTGCGAAAAGTCCTCCCCTGTCGTCTTCACCTGTGGGCGCTAGTGTCAGTTTCTCCGTGATCTCCCTCAGTTGTACGTTCTTCATCTTGAGCTTCTTCGTTAACCCTTCTAGATCCATCAACAACCGATGTCGAGTTCTCAGGATAAGCTCGACCGCTCTGCTCGTTTTCAGCACAGTCACCCTCATCACTATCATCACTGATGAATTAAAGTATATCCAACCTAGAGCTGTTTGTGCAATTTTGTCCGAGACTACCTGGGTATTTGCGCATAGTTTTACACACAGCAAGACATCAAGGAGAAGAGTCCATTCAACAAAATGTCGAATCTGGGGAAGGAAAAGAAGAGAGAGAGAAAGAGAGATGAGCTCTCTGTTTACTACTACACGCCCGAACCTTCCATGACGGATCCTTGCATATCAGGTGGCTGTCACTCACAGGGCTTGTCGCTGAGATACAGCCTGTCTTGTTTTGATAATATGATTAACCAAATCGTTTCCAAGGAATATATCAATCAAAGCGACTCGTGCTGCTAGAGATAAAAATGGACATAATGTGCCTCAACTGTTTTTAGCATCAATGACGGACCTTTGCGGTATTTCTTTATCTGAAGGACAATACTTTTCGTTAACGTTCTGTTTGCGTGGGTAAAGACCCCCAAGCATGGTGCTGTGTGTAAACGGAGGCTTCGGATCTGACACTGATATTGCGCACCGCTTGATGCGCCCACATGCAGGTAGCACCCTGTCTTTGCCGTTCATGGCAAGACTTCAGGCGAATGGGGAGCATACAATAGCCAAATTCACAAGTCAACAGGACAGCGTCCAAGTTCACATGCTAAGTTTCCCCTAGCCAGGTAGTCGTCTCTCGACGAGGTTCAGATGACCGATTCTCACAGTATATTTACCAGGCTTCCCAATCACTCGAGGCTTTTGCCAGGAGTGGACCTGATTCGATCCTTTATAAACCGTAGATGTCAAATCGCGAGTGGGTGTAAATCACTATCAAGGCGGTTCCGAGCTCGTTTGCAAACCTGGCATTAGCAAGGGATTGAGACTTCCCCTCATCCCTTGCTTTGGGGTTCGGCTATGCGTAGTCACTTTAGTTATGATCTACGATTGAGTCGTAATAAGATTGTGTAAACATATCAGACATGGGCTTTCGCAACAGATACTCGTTGATGGAATGCCCAAAGGGTACGTCTCTAGTATACTCTATAGTTGTATTTGAGCATTCTCTGGCCACTCCGTTAACACTGTATGACGCGCTGACTGTAATGTGACCCACTAGCCCGGCGCTAGCGGTAGAGTGGAGAACCAAGGCATGGCGAAAGGAGAGTCCTAAGTTGATCTGACCCTGCGTCTCAACCCTCGCGTCTTGCATACTCAGTTGTGGCCAACTTACGTAGGCCATTGTTTTTTCTTGACTGATCAAGAAAGAGGAACAAAGGGGGTCGCCGGGATGGGCGCTGCAGCCTTTATGGACAGCAAGCTAGAACTTAGGATTGAGGGGTTCAGGTACAGTATACATAGACATAAAACATCATTCTCGTTCAAAACGGTCACACTGCTAAAAAGCGCGCTTCGACGAGGGCTCTGCTTCAACTACCTACCATGCTGCCGCCCATATGAACTCAATCTAGCTGAGAGTCTTCAAGTACAGAAGGGAAGATCCTTCTATTATTGGACGCTATCAAACATGGCCATTCCTCCTGTCGCAAAGCAACCAGAATTTATGAAGAAAATGGACTACACTACATGACTGGGTGAATGGCAAAGCTAGTGGCCATAAATTAAGCTACTTCAAGGGATTGCGTTTGGAATGGAAAACCTATAGATTTGCATGGATCAGCGCCTCAGCCTTCTGCTGATATATAGCTGATGTCACAGGTTGCTTACTTACCACTGTGAGCAGGCGGCTCAAAGCAATAGGTACGAACTCGTTCTTATGGGCAACACTGCAGTATTGTCTACATTATATGGCTGGTTTCAGCCCTGTAAACACCAGATGCAAATCCCAAGAACGCAAATATGCCACAAGAGTACCAACTCCTCAATTTTCCTCTAGCCGTTGTAGAGGTTACAGTTTTGATCACTCTATAAGGCAACACTCGCTGGATTTCATATCTGTCCTCGTCGAAGGCAGTTGATATGGGTCGCATGGTTGTTTGACAATCTACGGCGGTTAACATTAGTTGTGTTAAAGAATTTGAGAGACCTCGACGCAACACAGGCTGTTTCCCAGGCTAGCTAGCTTCAATAGGGGTTCATTTACTAATAAACCAACAACCTATCCCGCTTCAACTAGCTGTCTGACATAGACTCGTGACTAATCCGAAGGGGGAAGACGAGTAGTGACTAGATTCTTTCGGAAATGGATAACGCTCATATTACGGTACATAGCCTGGCTATCGAGACATGGAATTGTAATTTTTTGCATTTACTATGGGTTTTGGGGTGCGCGAGTTAAGCGGGAAGTACATTCATTATCCTGATAACCTTACGTCATAATATTCTGCTGGTGAAATGATTTTCTTTATTTTCTATACTATGTATTGAACTATTCGCGTTTTCAAGTTGTTGAATAAACTTAAATGAAGTATAATTGAGAAATAACCTCAAGTAATATTTATGATGGTTTCCTGTCTAATAAAGTTACGACTGAAAGTGAAGACAAGGTGGTCAAAGTCTTAAGAAATGCCAATGTAGATCTTGGAATAAAATAATAAGTTTTGAGTAGAGTGGAAACTTGAGGAGAATTTTTCTTATATTAATTCTTGGGAAATATGTTTATTCGAAGGCAGAGCTGCGAATGCTAAGGACATTACTTAATATACAGTATACTAGGGAAAGGATAAACGTAACTTCTATTTAAATTGCCAGAAATTGATAGAGCAAATATGTTACCTTGTTATGATCTTCAAAGTTAATTCCGTCTGAGCACTGTTGGAGGACCAGAGGGAATGAGGGGATAGGGTGAAGGGGCATTCTGCTCCCTAGGAATGTTAGGTCGAATACTTAGAGGCGCCTACATAAGACCTGACTACTAACCAGGCTAAACTATGATTCATTCACTTCTTCTCGGAAATCTTTGACTGTGCTCCTGTTGGAATTTCATCGATCTCTGTCTACCCGACCGTCAATATGCGCTTCTTCGGTGTCCCTCTTCTTGTGCTCGCGACTGGAGTTGCTGCGTTGCCGCCAAGCGCGGGCGGTGAAGGTAGCGCTAATGGTGTTGCAAACAAGGGCAATGTCGCTACGCGCTTCCCTGTCCCCGAAAGCATGACGGTGAAGCAGGCGCAGGCCAAGTGTGGTGACCAGGCACAGCTCTCCTGCTGTAACAAGGCAACCTGGGCGGGCGATACCACCGACGTCAACGATGGTATACTGGCTGGCACTCTGAGTCACCTCGTCGGGACCGGCTCTGGGGCCGAGGGCCTTGGTCTCTTCAACGAGTGCTCCCAACTTGACGTACAAGGTAAGTATAATAGCACTTGTTTTGACATAAAATTTAACCGCTTTTAGTTCCTCTTCTTTTCGGCCTCGCAGCTATCCAAGATCTAGTTAAGAAGAAGTGTCAGCAGAACATCGCTTGTTGCCAGAACTCCCCCTCGAGCGCGGTTAGTTGATCTTGCCTTATATCTGGATTATATGCTAACTGCTAGATCATAGAACGGAGACTTGATTGGCTTAGGATTGCCATGTGTGGCTCTCGGAGCCTTGATCTAATTAGAGCCCCGCGGTTGAAAAATTGGGTTAGGTTTTGACTATTAATCTGAAACTCCCTCACGAGGAAGCACACGCATCTGTTTTCCCTCGTTAGCTCCTAATTCTATACTTCTTTCTCTTATATTTAGATCCTACAAATGATGGATTTCATTGACCTACGAGCTGTAACAATTACATGACATGGAAGGCTCCGGCGTGTAGTGGAAAACAAGA